CTGAAGAATAAAACAATTAAATTGAAACATTTTCTCATAGGTTTTTAACTTAGTGTACAAAATTTACCCATGTAACTCTTATGGAGTGATTAGGGCGACTAGCTAGCAAGGGTGAAAAATCAGGACGGGGTGGGTGATAATTGGCACCTATATAAGACAAAGCCCCAAATATCGGGACTGTCCCTATAAAATCAGGACATCTGATCACCGTATGAGTGATGCTTGTAAATCTATCTGTGCAAATAAAACACATGGATGAAGTGAGTATTCTGAAGGGTCTTTTAGAGCAGTGATCTCAAACTTTTGTACCGGTGACCCCTTTCACATAGCAAACCTCTGTGTGTGGCCCCCCCCTTATAAATTAAAACACTTTAAAATATATTTAACACCATTATAAATACTGGAGGCAAAGCGGGGCTTGGGGTGGAGGCTGACAACTTGTGATCCCCCCATAATAACCTCATGACCTCCTGAGATGTCCTGACCCGCAGTTTGAGAACCCCTGTTTTAGAGTTTTGATAAGGCCTTTTATAATTTGTTCACAAGTATTGACTCCAGGCAGAATCTTGGCCAGAATGAATTTAATATGGAGATTAATACTTCATACATATTTCCTCAAAATGTAATTTGGCCATTTGTTAGTGTTATGAATATGTGCGAAAGGGAATCAGTGGTAGAATAGTCACACTGGACATTTTTTTTGTAACTGTAAATAGCAAATTTAGCAGCAGTAACTTTTTTCATATGTGTCCATACAAACTTTACAGTGTCTTTATATGAATAGTTCTTATGATACAAAGTACAGTGAAACTTGAATTAAGCAAGCCAGGGAATGAACAAAAATGAATTCCCAAACAGAGATGTTCTTTAACTAAAGGTCAGAAAAAAATGTATTTGAAAACCTCATAGGGTAATTTAAAGTAGTCATTGTATATGGGGGGATGCCAGCAAGAGGGGATCCTTGGTGCAGATTTCTCCATATAGTTTAAAAGACAATTTGAGCAAATATAATACAGTGGACGGGGAGGGAGAAAATAGTTTAGTCTTCATTTATAAGCTGGAGTTTTAGCTTTGAAATTCCAGTTCTTTATGGACTTAAGTCAGAACTGATTGCTTACACAAGTTCTATATCTTGGGGTCAGGAGCAGAGGGGAGGAAGGATTTCTATATAAATGATGGCTTATTTTTTCAAGAGCTAAACATTTTCTGATGTCAGATGTGACACAATTACTGGACTCACTGTTCATGAGTCTATAGAACCTGCAAAGCTTTCAGTTCTTGTGAGACTATCCTCTCAGCATAGTGATCCCAGTCTTTTGTACTTCTGTGTCACCTAGCAATATCACGAGAGAGAGAGAGAGACTGTTGACATCAAATAAGCCAAAGCAGTTTTGGAATTTATGCTCTAGTACATCAGCTTCAAAGGGAGTTTACAGGCAATGAGGAAGAAAATTGTTCCTTCTTAGGCAAGTTGGAAATACTGTTGCAGCTTTAAGATATCTATGGTAAATATTTTTATTCATGCAGCTTATCCATATCTTTTAAAATTCCTAGAGGCTTAAAGTCAGATAATTGGGGTTTCCACTTTTAAAACACAATGGATTGATAAGAATAGCACTTGTTGCAGAGGACTAGTGTTTGCTACCTACTATTAACCACATACAAATTATTTTTTCTTTTCCAAACACTAAACACAGATTTTTGGCTCTGTTTCTATGAATCTATCTTTATCTAGGTGATTTTATGGCTCTTGTCATTGTAGTATCTGAGTGCTGAGATGAAAATGGAAACTCTTAAATCCCTTGTCTTTTAACATGGATAAAGCCAATTACTCCTAAATGCATTTTAACGTTTAAATCTACAACCAGCATGGTTACAAACCAAATGATTCCTCTTCCATTATGTGAACAAATGAGAGCCTGAACTTGTTTCTCTTGGCTGGGAGCGGGGTGCAAGTTGGGAGTGCTGGAGTGTTCCTCTCTGCCTCCACTCCCACAGTGGCTCTCCCTGGATGTCTTGGAGAGTTTGCACTTCAGGGTTAGTTGAGGGATAAAGCTGGGATTGGGACAGGAGGGCCAGCAGTACTCCACCAAATTGTCTCTATCTCCCAATAACGCTGTATGGGAAGATCAGCATCAGTTAATACTGTCTGGGTTAGCATTTGCTTGTGTGAGTCTCCCCCCTGTACTGACATGTGCCCCTCCTCCTCCACACTCCAGAGGAGTACCTCCTGGGAGCAGGGAACCTCTGGCAGTCTAGTTCTTTCAGAGCTGTACTGTCAATGGCCATAGAGGAGGAGACATGGGCCCTCTGAAGCGTTCTGCTGGTGGAAAAATTAGTAGAGAAGCCTGTAGATACAAGCTCATAAAGTTTCCAGATCCCCCCTACAGGTTATTCCCACATGATCAATCTATGGAAGTTACACCCATGTAACTGGGGGCCCAATGCAAAGCCCACTAAAGACAATGGGAGTCTCTCCTTTGACTTCAATGGGCTTTAGATCAGGTCACTTATGTTTAATTCTTATACTGTGTTCATTGCCATAGTATCAAAGCATAGGGCCCCAATAAACACAAGCTGTGCTCATGTACAGCTGGAGGTTGTCTTTGCAGGGTTTTGACTAGTCTGACTGCTTGTACCGATGTTCTGTCCACACCAGAGCAACAAACCAAGCCAGTAAAAATGAAATAAAACATGCCAATGGTGTTTTTAATACAGGTAAAGCTTTCATGATTTGCTTCTTTGGGGTGGATAGGTCTGAGGAGTGCTCAGGTTACAGAGAAGGTCCAGTGACTCATTTTTTACCCTTGATTTGTATAGTCCGTTAGTAAAACAAAACTGCAGCAGCTGGATGATGTTTCTATGACAAACCAAAGTGCTGGGAATGCAAACGTAAGCTTAGTTTTGAGTTGAATTGTTTTTTTCTAGCATCACCTATGAATAATTCTGTCCCTCAGTCTGCAAGAATGAATTCTATAAAGTTTGATTTGGAGAAGCACCCAAAAGTCCCAGTGCTAATCCATACCTTTTTCTTCTGAAGCTCTTGCAAAGTCAGGTTGTTTCATGGTACTTTCTCATTAAGGACTTGCTGGAAATACCACTACAGCAACCCCTTTTGCCATATTATGATACTTCCATCTCTGGCTAACAAGCGAGGTATTAGTCTGAAAAAACAAACAATAAGATGAACTCTTTTTAATCTCAAAAATGGTTTGTGGTTTGGGTGAGGGTTTGATTCAGTTTTTATTTCATCCAAACCAGTGCATTCCTTTCTAATTCAATAGTCCTGACAGAATGAGTCTTTATTGGCTAATTTGCATCCTGGTGAGAAATTAATTGGAAGAGGTAGGCAGTGGAAGCAATGTACTGCACATACCTGGGACTGCATGACATAAATGTCACGGCCTTCTCATTTCTTGTTAATATTGCATTTATGTCCAGTTCAAAACCTCCTTTTGCCATGGTTCTCTGGCTGAATAATTTAAAATTCCTTTAGTTTGACTCCAAGATTCCAAGTTATGTAAATTGTTTGTCTCTTACAAGAAAAAAGAAAAAATTGGATAATCGTTGCCAAACTGCATTTCATCTCTGCAGACTCATTATAATCAGCCGCTCAAGACTGGCTTTTCTAGTCTATCAACTGGATTATTTACACCTTCAAATTTCTAAAGTGTAACTATAGGTACCAATCCTGTTCCCTGGTTACCTAGCCCATAAATTAAAACAACAAAATAAGCCTATAAATATATTCACCTTAGTCCAACCCCCTCCTCAACAGCCTTTGGAAAGGGGGAGGGGAGGGAAATGTGCACTGCAGCTTGCCTGAAGAGTTAATAAATCTCAGCTCTGGAAGACAAAGGTTGAGAAGCAAGTTCCAAAATCAAGGACATCTTGCAAAGAACGTACTGTCAGCAGCAGAATCAGGGCATAGCAGTAAGAGCTCTCTCTTACCATTATTCCATACACTGTAACCATTTCAATATTTGTTATGGCTTTTGTTAGCTTTATTTTTAAGAAAACACTAAAGGGTTATGTGCATGCATGTGTGTTTAATATAAATGATAATCTGCAGAAGTACAATTTACTAGGTTCTGTGAAGGCATTATTGGCACTGATCTCTTGGGAAAGTTGCAACACTGGAATTTAAAAAGAATTTTTTTGTAACTTATTTGAAAGTTTTCCATTCATCATGATGATTTATTGATCATTCTATGACTATGGTTTAATTAAGCATACAAAGGCTTGGCAGTTATAGCAGAGGCATATCCTTTTAGAAAGGCTAACAATATGTTAACCCAAGGAAATTCCAATCTGAGATAGAACTCTACAGGGTCATATATAAGTTCAATGTAATGGATATGAATATACATGGTACCATTTCCAAAAAACAGGTACATGACCAGCCTATAAACATTGAATGTATGTCTCATTTGTTCAGTTATTTATTAACTGATTTATGAAAAAAATCCCACCACCCTACTTCAATTTTAACCATTTTTCATAGTTGAATAAAATCAGCTATGCCAGATTCATGGATATTCATGTTCCTAGCATTCATGGTCTAGAATTAAATGGAAATACATAATTCTGAAAAGAATCTTCAAGTTTTGTGGAAAATGACATCTTGACATGCCACCCCTGGTTATGAAGAAGAGCTCTGTATCAGCTCGAAAGCTTGTCTCTTCCATCAACAGGAGTTGGCCCAATAAAATATATTGCATCACTCACCTTGTCTCAGCTATGAAACAGGTGGCTATCTGCTCTCTAAATGAAGTGTTATTGCTAAAATAAACAGTGTTTTAAAGCAAGGAACACAAATCTTCATAGTAAAACTCAAGTTTGTTTTACAATTAAGGAAAAGTGACATGGTCCCCAACCCTTCCCACACCCAAGTTTTTTTATATATATATTGAAAATATCTTAAAAGAATACAAAATGTTATACTTAAACATATATTAATTAGTACACTTAAATATAGCTTAATTATATTTACAGTATGATGCAGATACTTTTAAGTTTTAATGCCAACTTCAATGTTTCCCAAAAAACATAACATTATATAAATATACAATAAATATTTGTTACACATGGTGAATAATAGAGAACTGGTCCACAGACATTAACTTACATTTGCACGAAAGTCTTTACTTTAACAAAGCAATAGGCCTGCTGACATGAATGAAATACCTTTGCCACAAACAGACCACAGCAAGACTTCAATTGAGTGACTTTTTAAGAAATATCTCATTTCAACTAAAACTGCCAAGCCTGGGATCATGTATGTATTAGGCCCCGCATGTGACAGTCATGGAACCATATTGTAATTAATTGCCTAGTTCATTGATTGTAATTGTAAATACCAACACCTTAGGGAATAATTTGTAACACATTAATATACTTGCATAGAAGATTCATTTGCTATTCCTGTCCCAAAAGAATGAATCTATGGATTTTTTTAAAATGTACAATTATTAAAGAAAATAGAAGTCAGATTCTTCAACCTTTACTTACTTTGTTTAATAAGCTACTCCATAAGTAGACCCATTAAATCCAATTACTCAAGAGTAAGAGTGGCAGAATTTGGACATAGATCAATGTACAGTATTCTTAACAATTTACATCTGGCCTAATAATGGCTGAGAGTTTTGTTTGAGTAAAGACATCTATAGATAATTTTGCAAGTTCACTATCTTTGTTCTTTCTAGTATAAATTATATTTAAAGAAACAATCACTTCTCTCATAAAAGCTTATTAAAGTCAATTTGAAATTATTTTAATCTTATGTCCAAATTAGATTCCTGTCATGTTCTATCTGTCCTTTCACTGCCAAGTTAAGAAATAGGTAATACACCTATACACTGCTTAATTTCACCCCTTCCTGTTTTCTACATGGCTGCCTTTTTTAATTTTTGTGGTTTGAAAAATATGAGACAATAAAACCATTGTCACATCTAAAGTTAGACCTCAGTAGAGTCAGTTGCCCTTCCTGGCTGAAATTCCAGCTTCATTAAAGTCAACGGCAAAACTTTCATTGACTTCAGTGGGGACAGAATTTCACCCCTTCTGTCTACAGAAAGAGTATGGAAAGACATACACAAAACTGATGGTGGACCAAATGATTTGAACAAAATCAAATCCTCTCCCAACCAATCCTTCAGTTTGTATAAAGCAAACTCAAACTGGAGCACTGCCTCTGAGATCTTCAGGTAAATACTTTAGTTCTAGTTTCCATCTAGGAACAGCATGCCTGAAATCTCTTCATAAAGCCTGAAGTTTGCAGCTTCAAGAGGTTCAGATAAATGTCTCTCTTTATCCCTGTGGATTTCCACAGTTGCAGCAGCACACTCTTGCTAGCAGTCCCTAAGCTTAAACATATTGAGGATGGAGAAAGAAGTTGTCATTGAGCAGGTGGGGCAGCTAAATTCTGGTAGTCATTTATTCTGCTAAACTGACAGATCCAGAGTCTGTTTACTTTTAGTAGAAGGACCATTTATTTAGTCAATCCTTAGCTGACAAGGATGATTGGGTTAATTTATGGGATAATGTCTACTTGTATATTGATCAAATAGGTGGGTTACATGGTGCTGAACATATGTCCAGGGATAATTTGTGAGAAGGGAATACATTTTACAATAAGCCTGATCACAGGCGATTTAAAATAGAGATGCAAAATAGGGCACATAGTTTGCTAATATTAAATTCTGGATGTATAAATTTTGGAAGTATAGCAAATTGTAAGTGTCCTTGTTTTACCTATTTTTTCTCTTATCTCTTTTCTCACACCTACCTGAATTGCCTACAAAGCTGAACTATTGGGCTAATGGACTCACTAACTACCAGTTACTTGAGTAGAGGGTGAGCTACTTTCTCTCACTCTAGACTGTGTGTTTCCCCCACTGTATTCACTGCAATTGCTGTACTTAGTCCTTACCTACATTTATCCTTTGTTCAATCATCTTTGCTCTGGTTTCTAACTCAAAAATATGGATTTCATGCTATTCGACTTCTAGGACATTGCTTGATTTGGTGTTAGCTATCACTAATGGTGACGATCACACCTACCTTTTTTTTTTTTTTTTTTTACAGTCTTATTTATTCATGATGCTATTCGTTTAATGGATTAAATCTGCCATGTACTGCGCCTTAAGATATAGAACCTCTTGAACGTATTCAAATATATTCAGTACTTAAAGTTAGAGGTAGAATCCTCTTTCTACTTCATTCCAGAGTCACCCCTCCTGATCCTTCAGGCCTGAATTCTCTCAATTTCTCAAGTGCTATATTTCCCAGAAACTCAAGGGATGGAGCATATTAGATGTTTCCTTTGTCATCAGTGGGGAATTAGGCTATAGTACAGACATCAGTATGCTGGGCAGGGGCATTGCTCTGCCGCTGAATACATGGTGCCAAATTCATTGCAGATTTACACTCATGCAGCCCCACTCAACCCAATCTGTTGTAACTCGTAACTGAATTTGGCCCACACTGTCCCACCCTGTAGCCGCTCTGATCTACGTTTACTGTACTCTGTTCAGACCACATTATCGTGAAATTTTATTGTGCTTCAACAAAACATTTGATCCAAGCACAAAAAGGCTTTTATTCCATTTTAAGTAATTGCTTTCAACACTCTATACGATATTTTCAGTATGACAAGCTTTAGTCATACGGTGAGGAGTGAAATATTTTAGAGATGGCAATCAATTTCCTGCCCAAGACAGGAAGGGGCCGGGGGCGGGGGGGGGAGGGGGAAGGGAGAAACTCCAAAGAACTCCTCCCCCAAGCCCCTCCTCCCCACACAAACCAATGTGATATAAGCAAATGCAGTTTTTTCACAGTGTAGCCTTAAAAAAAAAAAAAAGCCTGGAGCCAGACAGTTACACAAGCGCTGTCCTTAAGCCCGCAGCTCAGCAATGTGAAGCGGAACATCAGGATTCTTTTTCAGTTGCCTCTTTTTTTAAATTTATTTATTTATTTAGTCAGTAGCCTGATTCAATATTGCAAACACCTTCACAACATCCAAAAAAACAAACAAACAAACAAAAAAAAAACAAAACAAAAAAACAAAAACAAATTGTTTCATCCAGAACATGTATCTAACGATTTTTTTTCCCTTTTCCAACCTCATGGGAATTTAAAAGTAAAAAAATAAAACAGTAAAACTATGACAACAGCACCTTGACATTGTTTTAATTCCAACGCTATCAGAAGGTAAAAGCAGTAAACGGATATAATACTAACAGGAATAAAGATACTTACTGTCTAAAATGTAAACGGAATGTTTTGGTTCAAATTTTTTTTCTGAAAGAGGACAGTTTATCATCAATTCACAATTGAAGCAGCATGCAATTTTATTATTTTTTTAAACTTTTTACGTTTTCAATTCTTGGCAACGGCAACAAACCACAATGTTATCGAGGAATGTAATGCAGAGACTTATTTGTTTTAGTTGTGCGCAAATGACGTTTGTTCCCCTTCAGGTCATGGATATGTTCAATAAATAGATTGTGGAACCACTGTACTGTATAAACTTCAGTTATACATGCAGTCCATAAAATTATTATTTTACTGAATAATTTACCCTGTTATGTATATATACAAATAGATAATTTTGTCTCAATATAATCTATACAACACGAATCCACTATCTTCCCCTTTTAATGGTCAATGTACATACACAGGAAGTGTCTATTCTTATAAACCGCCAGCCAACTCTCTTTTTGTTATCCATGGTGAGAGCTCGCACATAAGACTGGGTAGTTCGGCACTGGGAATTCCAATGCCTCTTGTCTATGCCCCTGCAACCCTCTTTTGTGTAACCTTTGGGATTGCATTTGGTCTCATAGAAGTATTGCTTCAGTTGGCCTTTGGGTACTGGGACTTTTTCCAGGACCGTAACCGTTGCACCAGACATGTCCACTGCAGTCTTTTTCTCTGCTGCTGTTACCCACTCACTAGTACTGTCACACACGCTCAGCTCCCCACGGCGAGCAGGGTCAGAGTGGCGCCGGACCCTCATGGACATATTTGCTGCATCCAAGTAATTTTTGTACTCCTCAAGCAGAAAGAGCAATGGGGGCTCCAAAGGCACTTGACTGCTTAGCATAACCCGAGACGTGTACAAGTCGGCATCCTTGTTTTCCTCACTGGGCTGGATGTCCTGCTCCTCATCTAGAAGCTCCTCTATGACATGTTCAAAAGTGCCTGCCAATGATGTCAGTCCTCTTGAACCAGTGTTGGGCCCACTTAGGCTCTCCAGAGTCCCATGGGTCCGAAGACCTGGGTAAGCCAAGCTGCCTAGTCCTCTGACACTTGCTTCTTTCATAGGGGCAGCTTTCATGCAACTGAAGTATGAAATAACCATAGTAAGGAAAAGGATGGTCATCACTCTTCTTACTTGGTGGAACTGTTAAGGACAAGACAAAAAACAGAGATTTAAAATTTCATAGGGGCCAAAAAAAAAAAAAATCCATATCCATTTAGTTGACCCGAGAGGAGAAAAGTTTACTTATGTAACAGCTGTTATGAACATCAGCAGCACAAAGGTGTAGATTAATATCAATGGTGCATTATTGTTTCCGTTTTATGAAAAGACACTCAACATTTGTCCCTTGATTTATATCTTCAGCTAACACATAAGCCAATGAATAGGCAATCCTGCCCAAGGTCCTTCATTAGTAAATGTCACACTTCAGATACTATATAGGCCTAAGATTTAATGACCTTCCATTTGTGGTGCAAGTGTAACAGTAGATTAGAAATGGCACTAAACATCCACAGTACAATGGTAATAATTTGAAGAGTTTCAGAGATTGTCTGTTACAAAAAGAAAAGGAGGACTTGTGGCACCTTAGAGACTAACCAATTTATTTGAGCATAAGCTTTCGTGAGCTACAGCTCACTTCATGATGAATGAATGCATCCGATGAAGTGAGCTGTAGCCCACGAAAGCTTATGCTCAAATAAATTGGTTAGTCTCTAAGGTGCCACAAGTCCTCCTTTTCTTTTTGCGGCTACAGACTAACACGACCGCTACTCTGAAACTTGTCTGTTACAAGTACACAGCTATGTATTTTAACCCTGATGTAGAAGTTGAGATGTAAAGTAAGGCTACCTTCTCTTGGCTATTAAAACAAATTTGCGGTTGTGTAGGTCACAACATGAACATTCTGGGCAAAAAGTAATGAGCTATGCATTTGGTCCTTATCCATACTGCAGCTTGAACTATGCTAGCAACAGCCATACTAAATAAAAGCTGCTCTGTCAGAACCCTCTCCAGCAACTGTTTTCCTGTGTGGTTGTTGCTCATGTGGGTCAAACAAGATTTCCATTCTGAGTGCGCGCACAGGTATTTTATTCCGAGGAGTGTTGTGGCCCAAACCGGGTCACAGCCTGCCTGCCTGAGGTTGTCGATAGCATATGTGGACACAACCACCATAACCTATAACTATGGTTTGAAAAATACCTTCATTCACCAATAGAAACTATACAATTACTGAGTGTTGGCAAGCCTACCTCTTGCCTAAAAGCAGGTGTGTACAGAAATTGACTATGCAACCAGACAAACCATCACAGAGTTAATACTATAATAAACACTTAAAATACAGCCTAAGTAAATACATTGTTTGTATCACACACACATTTCAACACACGTTATATTGAAAGGACAATAATAAAACCGCTGTACGGTAACTTAGAAGGGCCAAATTCTACCGTCTTTATTCAGGCAAGCTTGCTGTTGAACGCAGCATTGATTTCAACAGTTTTGCCTGAGTAAGAATGGCAACATTTGGCTCCAGTGCTTGAGCACAGCGGAGCTAGCATGAACCAGCCATTAGGGCCCTGCCACCCCCCACCCCCAGGAGTTTTAAATATCATGACTGTCTGGTTTGCCTTCTGTGTCTCACACTTAGCCCACAGTCTGTGGTGTGAGATGGGCAAGGTGAGAGAAATGCTTGCCATGTGTGATAAGGCAAACAGCATGCAGTATGGAAGAGGAAGTGTGAGGGAGTGGTTTATTTATTATCAAACCCCACAACACACACCCAGTAGAATTAACAAAATTTGTTCCTATCAGCACCTCAGAGAGTCTGCTTGCATGTCTATCCACCTCCCCTTTGTTTTGTCTTTTCAGATTATAAGCGCTTCCAGGCAGGAATTGTCTCTTGCTATGTATGTCTGTACAGTGCACATTTTAGATGCTACATTGCACATTTTAGGTGCTCCTTTAATAAGAAATCCATACAATCCTTGAAACCCCTTAGCGACAAAGAGAGCTGTGTTTGCTGATCTGAATGTGCTGCTACAACATCTTCTAAGTCCACTTGTTACTTTTGCCCCCTTCTGATCCCTGCTCAAGCCAGTTCACTAGTAAGCAATGGCATTGTTCACATTTTTGAAGCAGCAGCTAATGTTCATTTCAGTGCTTTTGAAGTTCATTCGGAAGTACCTCATACTTGGCATGCACACTGGAGTAAATGCTATATTTGTCTGGCAACAGGGTGCTCTGCAGAAGTCTTACTTCATCTCCTACAAATAGTCTGTGGGAAACCAGTACTCCCAAATTCGCAAGTAGAAAAGACCAAACTCACATGCTAGAGGGACACTGCCCAGGTTTTAAGGCCCAACATTCACTTAGTGAAGGGTTATTTCTTTCAAGAGGAATTTACTTGAGGATCTCCCCAGCTCAACTCACCCCTTATGTCCAAGTCATCCTTCCTGTTTAAGTGTGTCACTGTGGCACAGACACATTGAAATTAAACAAACCTGATGCCTGTGATTCACAGGAACATAGTATTTGCTCTAATGATGAGGAACAACCATATTTTGTACATGAATGGTGTTTTTCATCCTTTGGATCTCAAAGCATCTTACAGACTGGGTATCATTATTAATATAAACATAGATTTATCTTACTGACAGACAGGGCACCTATGGCACTGAGAGATTATGCTCCCATTGGTTCAGCTGCACCCAAGAACTGAGCCACTGAAAAAATCTGTAAACATTTTGAAAATTCTCCCCTCAGTGATTTGCCCAAGATCACACAACAAGTTAACAGCAGAGCTAGGAACAGACCAAGATCTTATGGCTTCCATTCAAGTACTCATTACTGTTGTTATTATTTACATTACAATAGTGCCCAGAGGCCCCAGCCAATATCAAAGCTCCATTGTACAGGGAGCTGTACAAGAATAAAATAAAAGACAGTCCCTATGCCAAAAACCTTACAGTCTAAATAAGGATTAGACATGCCAGGTGGATGTAAAACACAACAGGGTGGGGAGGGGAGAGACAAAGGTAAGTGCAATAAGGACACACACATGAGCTAGGTGTACAGTTTGGGGGCCTCAAAGTTTGTTTTAAAATTAGGCAAGTAAATGAGTGACAGAATGAATCACTAACAGACTACCTACCTAGGCAGTTTACAGCGGGCATCATGATAGCAATGGGTTTTAAGAAGGGATTTGAAGGAGAAGAGACTAGTGGCTCTGCAAAATGATTTAAGACATACATTTCACCAGTAGTGGCTTAGCTGTTTTGCTGGCCAAGGTGGAAAATGTTTTTGGCACCTCCCCTCCCCATGAGTGGCTGAGAGGCGGGGGGAAAGCCAGCCAAAACTGAGTGGCACAGCAGTTCAGCACCTCTGGAAGTTGGCATCCAGATGATTGCCCTACACCCCCCCTAATCCTCCCCCAGAGTCAGCCATAAGAGATCTTGTGAAAAAGAGGCATGACAGTGCTTGTGGGAGAAAAAAAAAAAAGAAAAAGAAAAGTTCAATCCATTAGTCCACAGATATCCTCTGCCAGCTAGCCATTGGTCCATCCAGTCCGTCACTGCTCAATACCTACTGCTTCAGTCAGTTACCACCCACAATGCACCTAACCAGTTCTTCCCTACATCATGGTAGAAAAGAATCCACCCTAATCCTGATCAATTTACACATGACATAGATTTATCTTTATCGTGCATAAGTAATCTGGAGGGATGGGGGCTGAAGTCCAATTAGGCTTTCAATCCTATTAACAATCCTCTCAGCCATCTCCTACATTGCCAGATTTGCATGACGATAGCGCACATGTGGATTTGTTGATACAAGAGGTCACCATACCATGGCTTTTTTTCCTTTTAGCAATTTAGCCTGGCAGCAAACAGAAAAACTATATCTGGAATCCACCCTTAAGGCACCATAAACACACATTTCTGATAAGTGAATCTTGGGACCCTAAAATGTCAACAGTCTCCCCTTTAAACGAGTTATGGGTCAAGTACCAATGGATATGTAACATCTCAAAGGATGGGTCTGTCTGTATTTCTTTATAGAGAAAAGAGACTGCTAGTAACTTGTGCATTGGGCACAATCATCATCCCTGGCAAAGAATGATGTCCAAATGTGCTAATGTGGAGGGAAATCCTTTTAACACATACAAAACCTTATCATTTCATAGGCAACAGTGTGCTCATAGTGGAAGCACAGATGCAGTCACAGGAAGTCTGCTAATCTTGTAATGATGAAGTCACAATGGAATGAGAGTGTTGAATCTCAGTGCTCAGATAAAATTCTTTTAGCCACTTTCAAAAGCTGGAGACTTTTTCTTTGTTACTTTAAAAGTATTACCCCAGGCACTGAAAATGTACTGATGAATGCAAGGTTCATATCTCACTTAAGGAATTGGTACCAGATCCTTAATATTGTAATATCCATATCAAAAGGGTCTCTGGAAACAGTTATTACAGTTTGAATGTGAGTTTTCAGTTCTTTCCCTTCTGCTCCCAGATCAATAGAGTTATTGCCTGTTCCATTACAGTACATGTCTTGTAAATCCAAATACCAGTACAGATTATGTATGCACTCCTGTTTGCTGCTTAGCTACTATGCTGTATGAGCCAGAGGAGGGAAAAAGAGAAGAGAGCTGTATTTGCCTATCTTCCAATCTGCTTTCCTAACAGCATTTCTAAATATCCTTTACTATTGTATCTGTGCAGGTGGGTGAGGGTGGGGAGGGGATTCATCTATCTAGAATCAGTGCAGTACTTTCCCTTTCCATGTGGAAAGACAACCTCAATGAAACCTTGCACGGAGGTGCCTCAGCAATTCTAGGAATCTGTGCACAGGGCTGGGCTATAACAATTGTCCCTTCCCCACATAGGCAAAAAGTGACAAATCAAGTGGAGTGCCCCAAGGGTCAGTCCTGGGGCCGGTTTTGTTCAATATCTTCATAAACGATCTGGAGGATGGTGTGGATTGCACTCTCAGCAAATTTGCGGATGATACTAAACTGGGAGGAGTGGTAGATACGCTGGAGGGGAGGGATAGGATACAGAAGGACCTAGACAAATTGGAGGATTGGGCCAAAAGAAATCTGATGAGGTTCAATAAGGATAAGTGCAGGGTCCTGCACTTAG